TGCAAATTTAGCTGGCTTTTATTTAGTTATATTCCTGACCTGTGTAACTGTAAACATTTGCAGGTGCCGCTTAGTATTATGATTGTATGGGCATATGCTCTCTTTCTGACAGTTGGGGGAGCCTATAACTTCAAGGGTTGCAGCCCCAACATCCCAAGTTCGAACATACTGGTTGATGCGTGCATAAAGCACGCATATACCATGAAGCACTGCCGTACAGATGTTTCGGATGCATGGAGTACTTCTGCTTGGGTCCAGATTCCATACCCATTGCAATGGGGTATCCCTATCTTCCGCTTCAGGACCTCTATAATCATGATCATTGTATCACTCGTTTCATCAGTAGATTCGGTAGGTACCCTTACTTTCAAGCTGGTATTGATTATAGATGTCCAAATAAAAAAGAAAAGAAAACTTCTTACATCGAGGAAATCTATTCCTAATGATCAGTGATTATGTGCTCCAGCTTTGCATTTATCATAATTTACTTTTATGTGGAGAGCTCTATTAGTTTATAGCAGCTCAATGGACTTTCATGATTTATTATGATTAGTCTGCACAGTTGAAAGAAAATCAATCAAGCAGTACTTGTGATGGATCACATGAAGTCACTTTTTACCACTTGAACTGTGAATCATATTGTTTTCTGGTACCATTTTAATCATGTTGATGAATTTTTAAGTAACTCATTGAAGATACATGTAACAAGTGCAGGTTGCGACATATTATTCTGCATCATTAAAAGTCAATTCAAAGCCTCCGACCCCAGGAATTGTGACTAGGGGAATTGGGATGGAAGGCTTTTGCAGTTTACTGGCTGGACTATGGGGTACTGGAACTGGATCGACAACTTTAACTGAGAATGTGCATACAATCAGCATAACTGAGGTAGCAAATCGAAAAAGTGTACAGCTTGGTGCTGTTCTTTTAATTTTGTTATCTTTTATAGGTAAATTTCATCTTGTTACACCAATTTCAAGACAATTCCAGTTAAATATCCCCTGTTTCTTTATAAATATGTTTTTTGACTGCAGGAAAAGTAGGTGGTATCCTTGCTTCCATTCCACTAGCACTTGCTGCATCTGTGTTGTGCTTCATTTGGGCCCTCACTGTAGCTCTCGGTCTCCTAAATTTGCAATATACTCAAGCATCTAGTTTCCGAAACATGGGAATAGTCGGTGTTTCCTTGTTTCTTGGATTGTCCATCCCTGCATACTTCCAGCAATTTGAACCTGAGATAAACCTGATTCTTCCCAGTTATCTAATTCCATATGCAGCAGCATCAAACGGGCCAATTCACACTGGCAATAAACAAGTAAGTAGTGCTTTTATTGATAGAAGTAAGTTGGCATTCATTAATAATTAATTGAGGAATGATTCACTAATAATCAAATCTACGAAGAAGATTTTATCTGGAGTGTTGTTTTTGTTTTTTTTGTTTTTTGTTTTTTTTTTTTTTTTTTTTTTTTTTTTTGGGGTGTGGGGGGAAGTGATATATCTACTCAGTAGTTGTTTTATTGTTTGTGCCTTGTAATGCCTGAATTTGGTCTGGATTGCCACTTTAAATAGCTTATCATGTCTCGAAATCACACTTTCTTGTCACCTCATGTGAGGGGTCCCTTCTTTCCAGCAATCCAAATGAAGCTTAACTTTAGAATTTTAGACACATGCATCAAAAGCCTATGAAAAAATATTAGAAATTTATGTTTTTATTATAGGCACTCTCGTTCATATTAGTTTTTCTTGCCATTTCATATCTTTATACCCTGATTTATTTGGAGCTAATTTCTTCTTTCTATTATATGTACCAGTTTGATTTTGCCATGAATGCTCTCTTGTCTATGAACATGGTGGTGAGCTTCTTCATTGCTTTTGTTCTAGACAACACTGTTCCTGGCACCAAGCAAGAACGAGGGGTATATAAGTGGTCGACTTCTGAAGAGTTGGCAACTGATGCTTCTTCTCAAGCCAGTTATAAGTTGCCTAGTGGAGTTAGTCGTGCTTGTTGCTGGGCAAAGTGTCTAGGTGTATGAACTCAGCAGCTGGTTCGGGCTGCTTCTTTGGGCTTTTGCTTCCTTTTGGCTCTCTTGAACTTTTGGGTCTCGTGGTATGGCTCAACTGGGTGAAGGGTTTCCTACAATTACTTCACCCGATTTTGGGATTGTTGTTCTAGAGCTTAAATAGAGTCGTGAAAATTACACAAGCATACTAGTATATTGTAGGAAACAAATGAAAAGTCTATGTATTGGCATAATATATAGTGTATGTCACATGCCTTACAAGTACAAGAGTAGAGTGTGAAGTAGGAAGTGTGAATTAATTTAAAGAGAAAGTTGTGTTTATTCAGCAAGATTGTAACTCAGAAATCAATGAAAAAGAAAAAACACTTCTATATGTATTCTTCTTTTCATTTTTGATCCATTTGAAAAGAAATATTATGCCTGTCATGCTTCTTCTCCATCAGTCCAGCAACTACTAATCGATTTTGTTTACAAGCTGGTTATTTCTGTATCAGGGTTCACTATTTTCATCCAAGAAGGGGTAGTCAGTGTAACCCACTACAGGATCATGGGTATAGAATGTAGCAGCATCATATGCATTCAATGGAGCATCAATCTCAAACCGGCGAACCAAATCAGGGTTTGAGAGGAAAAACCGGGCATAAGCAATCAGATCTGCATCTTCATCAGCAATGGCCTTCATCCCTAGCTCTTTGTTGAATCCTCCGCTGATCATGAAGGTTCCCTGGTATGCTCTCCTGAATTCTTTCAGCAGCTCAGCTTCTTTCTCACCAATGCCATGGGTAAGCGTTCCTGCTTGAATCTGCATGTAAGAGAGTTTAAGTCCTATTTCTTCTTGCCGTTTGTTAAGTCTCTCCACCACTGCTAAGCCTAGAGCAAGTGTGTCAGAATCATGGGCGTCGTGGGTGTACATTGTTGGTGATATTTTCACCCCTATTCTCTCAATCCCAAGGCTTCAACTACAGCATCCAGAATCTGCATCAAGAATCTGCATCGATTTTCAAGGGACCCACCATACTGATCTGTCCTATCATTGACTCCATCCTTCAAGAACTGGTCAATGAGGAAGCCATAGGCTGCATGAAACTCAACCCCGTCGAAACCTGCTTGAATGGAATTAATGGCTGCTTGACGGTATTGATCAATGATCTCTGGAATCTCTGAAGAAGTTAAAGCTCTGGGATTTGAAAAATCAGATGGTGATCCATCAGGCAGTATCGCTTTCCATCTGCTTGATATAGTTTTGTTTGTTGAAGATATTGGTGCTACACCTCCTGGTTGGTATGCTGTACCACAAGAAATGAAGAGCTCACCAGGTTGGTATGACATTCTTAAATTTATTTATTATGTTTAATGGCTTCGAATGAAAATGATCTCAGTTAATTGCTGAACATTATAAATATTAGTAATGGCATATTCCAACTGATAAACTATGTTGTTCCAGACTCCAGACCAAAAATATTGTTATTGTTGCATTCATTTCATTCTATAAGATGCTTAATAAAAATATCCTATGTTATTTTGTTTGCGAAGTGATGATTCTGATGAAAAACAAAGTAGATGAAGAGCAATGAGCAATGAGCAATGAATATTAATATACCAAGGTGCGAGGCGCGCCCCACATGCCACAACTGACAGAATATGTAAGCCCCTTTGGCATGAACAGCATCAGTAATTTTCTTCCATGCTTCCACTTGTTCCTTCTGGTAAATCCCTGAGCAGTGAGGATACCTGCAAAAATCGACTCATCTCCATTAATATGCATCCCTAACAAAAATTCCATGATCAACTTTTGGGAAAATAGAGACATGAAAGTCTTGAGCTACAAGAAGAGATTTGAAAATGATAATTGTTGTGTCAAAAAAAAAGAAAATGATAGTGGTCAATTAAAAGGAGTGAAAGGAGAAGTTACCCATGAGCAGTAGGAGAGATGAAAGTGCCTTCAGAAATGAGAAGCCCACCATTAGTAGCACGCTGAGAGTAATACTCAACCATGGCATCATTAGGGATGCCATTCAACGCCCTACAACGAGTCATGGCTGCCATTACGACCCTGTGAGACAGGCGTAGCTCCACCTCCTTTCCCATCCTGTATGCACTCAGTAGATCATGCTTCCTCATCATTTCTTCCTTTCCTGTTTCTTTCTTGGTCTTCGTCTTCAATCTATCTTTTCGTCAATGATGTGGCTGCCGTCTATTATCTTACAACATACTAATATAGCAACAAGGTTTTCAGGTGGTTAGTAACATCATAAGTCTTTTAAAGAAAGAAACAATAGTTTAAAAAACCTCTTCTTTAAGCTCAGTCTTTGACTTTGAACAATAAGAAAATAAGATAACATATTCAACTGTCATAATGCCAATCATACTGCGACTTGTGAGCACACTTTCATAGTTCAATAATTACCCAATACATAGGGATTTACTATTACTGTCAAAGTGCTAAATATATAGTCAATTTTTGTGTGAATTATAATAATATATGGTTGAATCTAAAGTAAACAACTGAGGAGACTAAACAATTAACCACTGCAATTATAAAATAATGAGTACCAATTATGATCATATTTGGTTTTCAACTATTCTACTATTGGTTGCAAGTTCAAAATCATTTTCTTAGTCTTTTTTAAGGTTTCTCTTAGGAGTTGTATACAGTTAATGAGTATAGAGCATAGAAAGGTGAATGAAATGAAGTTTCCAATGGAAAGGGAATAGCCATTTCAAAGCCGCTTATAGGCTGACTATTTAAATAATTGAAAAGTGGCTTTTATTAATCTTTTCTTATGTTGATGTTTTTATAACTTTCATCTAATCTCAAATCTCCAACCATTTTAGCTACTGTTGTGTGTAAAAAGCATGCAAGTTCATGATTTATACGAAGTAAATAAATCAGCAAGAACTTGTAACTATGTAAGAGATGAAATTCAACTATAGAGTTAGAACAGGATATCGAGATTTAGACAGCATTCCCATCCAAACTTGTAGAATAACTTGTAGAATTGTAACTGAGAATTCTGTAAAAGGAGTACATTCACTAGTATTTGACTTGTATTCTCAGGAAAAGGTTAATCTGTTACACTTCTTAGTTCTTACTAATCAACCTTATTTAAAAGCTTATTTTCTTTCTCTCAAGGTTGAGTACTTTCATTCAAGAAGGGGTAATCAGTGTAACCCACTACAGGATCATGACTATAGAATGCAGCGGAATCATACTCATTTAATGGTGCATTGATCTCAAACCTGCGGACCAAATCAGGGTTCGAGAGGAACAACCGGGCATAAGCAATCAGATCAGCATCACCTTCAGAAATGGCCTTGTCCCCCAGCTCTTTGTTGAATCCTCCACTAATCATGAAGGTTCCTTGGTATGCTTTCCTGAGTTTTCTCAGCAGCTCGGCTTCTTTCTCTGTAATTCCGCGGGTAAAAGTTCCTGCTTGAACTTGCAGGTAACAGAGTTTAAGCCCTTGCTCTTCCTGCAGCTTGTTAAGTCTCTCTACCACTGCTAAGCCTAGGGCTAGCTGATCAGAATCGTGGGCTTCTTGGTGGTACAATGTGGGGGATATTTTCACTCCTATTCTTTCTATTCCAATGGCTTTGATCACAGCATCGAGAATCTGCATCAGGAATCTGCATCGATTCTCAAGGGACCCTCCGTATTCATCTGCCCTGTCATTGATCCCATCCTTCAAGAACTGGTCAATGAGGTATCCGTAGGCTCCATGAATCTCAACCCCATCGAATCCTGCTCGAATAGAATTTATGGCTGCTTGACGGTAGTGTTCAATGATCTGTGGGATCTCTGAAGTCGCTAAAGCACGAGGGCTTGAATAATCAGAAAATGATCCGTCAGGCAATAGTATTTTCCACCTGGTTGGTATGGCCTTGTTTGTTGAAGATATGGGCGGTCCACCGCCTGGTTGGTATACTATATCACCAGAAAATATCATCAGGTGCTCTCATTTCAATATCATGTATCTTAGTATCTATGTTCCAATACTTGTTTAAAATGTTTTTGTTGCATCAATATTACATGTGTTCATTCTCCATGATGCTTTATTAAGAATTTTAACTACTTCCCTAATCTAAGACTAATTATATCATCCTAACTTCTCATATGTCCAGAATTAGTTGCCGCCTTCTAATTCGTTTTTAAGTAGTGGCATATCTAGTTATTAACCATTCTACTATGTATTATGTTAGGAAACATGACAACAACAAAAAAATTATTTGGATATTAATTCCTGATGAAAGAGCATATTAATTGGACCCCCAAGAACACAATATGAATTTGTTGTTTTAGTGTCTGAGTGATAAGTAGATGAAGATTAGTGAATGTTAATATACCGTGGTGCGAGGCACGGCCTACATGCCACAATTGACAGAACATATAGGCGCCTTTGGCATGAACAGCATCAGTAACTCTCTTCCAGGCCTCCACTTGTTCCTCCAGGTAAATTCCTGGGCAGTGAGGATACCTGCAGAAATTAACTCTTCTCCATCAACATTCACCTCTGATAGGAGTTGTAACAAGTTTCCAAATCTAAGGTTAGTTAGATTTTTAAGTAAAAATGCCGAATTGATAATATTATGGAAAGTCAGAGAAAGGAAGGGCATGATCAGATATAAGAAACGTATCAAAAAAAAATTACAAAGTTAGTTTACCCATGAGCAGTGGGAGAGATGAAAGTGCCTTCAGAAATGAGAAGGCCACCATTAGTAGCGCGCTGAGAGTAATACTGAACCATGGCTTGATTAGGAATACCATCTAATGCCCGACAACGAGTCATAGCTGCCATAACCACTCGGTGTGATAGACGTAGCTGCACCAATTTTCCCATCTTATATCCACTCAATAGATGATCAGATTGATCATACCCCTGCAGTTCTGCCCCTACTGCTTCTTCCTTGCCCTTCATTATCACTGCCTTTTGGTGGTAGTGTAGTAAGTTTGCTGTTTACAAGAACAACAGGAGAAACAAATCCCTAATGACTAGTGACTACTGTCAATCTGTCATACTTCAGGGTTCCCATAACAGTTTTGGATGTTTTGTGCTACCTTATTATAATTTGTGGTTCATACAACTATACAAGTTCATTTTCACTTTGTCCCATCAATATGGATCAAGCGTGATTTAAAGCTGATGACATGTGACAAAAAAATCTAGATCATTATGATCGAGGACAATTGAGTATGTGGTGCAAACAAGAAGTACTCAGTTATCACATCCGCCAACGCATAACTTTACGCATTAAATACAATTTATTCATCAAAGTTGTAAAAAAACTATGAATAGTTCAAAAGTCAAAACAAAAAAAAACAACTGGAGAGCGGGCCTTCCTTAACTCCAGGCCACACAAAAACTTCCCAATTGATTTGTGCCTGTAAAATTTTTAGTATGGTTCATTGAATAGATCTCAATCTAAGGAGGTCAAAACCATTCACTAATTCTATTGTATGAAGTTTGTTTAACGGGACGAATTCTAGCACGCTTTAATCTCATCAATTTGAGAGCGCTATCCTTCTAAATTTAACCATTCCAGTCGGTATTATATTGCACATATCTTCAAAAGATGGTCTTAAACTACTTGTCAATATAAACTAGATAGACTTAAACGATATTAAAAAAAATTAGACAAATTTACAAACTATGACTAATTAAGTAGCCTCATTTCAGTTCATGAGTTCAGAAAGTGAAGTAATGTGTAGGATTAGTTACATTAATGAGCTACTGCATTCTCAGATCACACTGAGAAGGTAGTCACAGTAATCTTGGCGACGAGTCCTTAATTCTCATCCTTCATCTCCGTATTGAAGCTGGCAGAACTTAGGCACCCTATGAGTCCTTGTGTCAAGCAGTTCTCAAGTGATTCATGAGAAGATCTGATTAGCAGATAATCTTGGCTGTTTTTCCCTTGACGATCAAGTTTATTCGGAACATTAATCTTTGGGATATGAACAGAGAAGATTGTACTATATAAACTTTTAAATCTCTAGAACATTTTCACAATCACAAAGTGAAAGAAGTACAAGAAGACTGAGAGAAGTTATACATTCCCATTCTATTCTTGTATTCTTAAGATATAATGAAGCAAACGCCCTTCTAAAACATCTTATACACACACATATGAGGAACACTGAGTGAAAGCTTGTTGAAACCATCACCTGAAGAATCCATATTTTCGTCTAGATAGATAAACTTACCTGTGAAAGGAAAAAAATAAAGAAGGTATAACTAGAACATTGTGAATTTTATAAATATTTATAAAGATTAAATTTTCTTCAGTCAATAAATAATAGGCCACATTTATGTTTGGGATATACTAAGGTAAGATATTTAACTAGACTATAATCTATATTACTACCTAATCCATGTAATGATACCTTTGACTAAAAACTGTAATGAAAGATTATGGTGGCATGGTAGGGATGTATAATCTAACATGGATTAGGTATTTCTATTCGGTTCTTTAAGAATGACCTCCAATCAAATGTGGCCTATTAAATAGAGATGGAGATGTTTGTACTGTTAGTGTGTTAGGATGTGCTACTACGCCAGTCTTGGATGAGAAAACGAAGATTGTTGTTAGGAACAAGATGTCTGTGCTTTAGCTTCTGGTTGGTCACCGGAGAATTATGGTGCCCCTGTCGCAACCATTCTTCAATGGCTTCTAGCTCATATGAGTATCCATCTGCTGCTATATGTGGATTGTCCATTACGACCTGAATGAAATTCCAAGTACATTATACAAAACCATATAGGTATAAGAAGCCGTGTATGCAAGAAGTTAAGGTCGCTAACCTGAAGTAAGGGACACAAGAAATTGGAAGGAACATGACTCCACTCCTCGCCAGAGGATGTACCATCTTCACTTCCCATATGATATTCTCTTTTAGTTATCACATCATCGGCCTTCTTCTTTAGTCCATTCAACTCTTCAGTCACTGAAGACATAATCTCTCCTACATTAGGCTCTGAGTTTATGGACCTACATTTCATTGCTAGCTTCACAGCCTCCTCTACCAAATCCAAAGGCCAATCACCTGCATTTTCATCCAAGGCTTCGAGGATGACCTGTTTATTGTCAATTATCATAGCCTCATGATCAAGCCTAGCCCAGTTCCTTCCCATAAGAAGCTGAAGCAACAAGTCTCCAAAAGCAACCACATCTGCCTGCATATCACACTCATGAAACTCATCAGGGCTTGGTCTGACTTCAAATGAATGGAGCTTGGCCACAAAATTACGGTCCAGGAAGATGGTGGATGGGTTAAGCTCACTACATACTATGGGCATGGGTTTTGCGAGGTGGAGGAATCTCAAGCCTAAGCTGACTTCGGCAGCAATTTGGATCCTCTGGTGCCATTGGAGTGCCCTGGCTTTTGTCCTTGAGAATATGATGTCTCTGAGGCATCCGTTTTGCATGTATTCAAAAACTAAGCACTTGAGCTCTGAGCAGTAGCCGATAAATGCTGTGACTTGGGCATGCCGGAGGTTTGCAAGGAGATTCACCTGCTTCAAAGTTTGATTTAGATAAGAGAGCTATACAATTATACAGGCACTGGCAAACAAAGGGATATGTGGGTGTTTTACCTTTGCTTGGAAAAACTCCTGGCACATATGAACATTGGAATCGAGCACCTTCACTACAACAGACAGGCGATTGATCCGGCCTTTGTACTCACTAGTCCAATTTCGTCCATATGCCAATCTCCTATATGTAGCAAAGTTATCAGTAGCTGATCTGATCTCATCTGCACTGAACTCCCTGTGGCTGCAGCTCACCTGATCACCCATCCTATTAGCCGAGCCAATAGCATCCTTTTCTTTGCAAAACTCTATCCTTCTTTGGAACACATCTCTCTGCTTTCTCAATTCCTCGATTTCTCTCACTAGCTCAGTTCTTTTATTGGCTGCATTCTCTAGCTTCATCTCAGCTTCCCGCTTAGCAACTGAGGAAACTTGGAGTTTGCTAGACAGCTCAGATTGGAGCTCGACTAATGAGCTTAGTCTGTCCTTGCTCTCTTGCACATCAGCTTGAATTTCATGAATCTGCTCTTTGGTATTGTCTATGTCTTTGGTTAGTTCAGTTCGCGTTGAGATCTCTTCTGCTATTTGAGTTTGGAGTTGCTCGGCCTGCACAAAATATCAGTGTTATGTTTTCAGAGATATCTATCACAGGATATTAGGTGCATATCAACTAGATATATCGAGAAATTCTAATTACCCGATGATTGCACAAGCAAATAGCCCATGAAGCTTTGGCTTGTCTGTCGACTTCAGCCTTGGCTGCATTTTTATTCAACTCAATCATAGCGCGTGCTGCTTGTAAATCATGTTTCAGAGCTTCTATTCTCTCACCAGGACTCTGTAATAACAGAACATCAGTTACAGTTCAGGCCATTTGAGATGATTGATCAGGTACCAAAAATATAACAAACAATACTAAAAAATTTCAGCATTACAATATCAGCAATTAAGTGTGCACACAATTTGTTGTCATCTTTTCCCCCTCAATAGCTTCTAATTCAATACATATAAGAATGGAATTTTAGTCAATGATGACTAAATTTTGACTTTTTGCTCTGTGTTACAATTTTGAATGCATAGTATATTTATAATGGATGGAGTGCTACTAGCAAGAAGGTACATAGTTGAGTAGATGTGAATCAAGGGTTAACATGAATCCTTGATAGTATAGTCAAGCTACACAGAATATAATTTAGCAATATCAAAGAGTAGGATAAAGGGGATCCTAAGTCCTAACCTTCATGAAAACACTGAATATAAAGACTCGTAACTACTCAATTGGACATTTTTCCCATAAAAACATCACGACGACACCAAAGCTTAGGCAGGTGCAAGTCGAACCCCCAACCTTCCCCCCAGCAAGTTTTCAAATAAAAAAGAGCTCCATGTATGAAAATCTCCACACAGCAGATAGGACTTCTTGCACCAATAAAACAAATCAACTTTATATAATCAATATTCAAATGCTTCAAAGTCAAAAACATGAGTAGCATGAAGGGGGCCACCCAAAAAAAAAAAAAAAAAAAAAAAAAAAAAAAAAAAAAAAAAGAAAGTGTGTTGTTGGTACAAGAAGACAACTAAAACCAAGGTATCATCTTTATGCAACTACTAGACCAAAGCCAAACACTACGTCCATATTTCTAACAAGAATAAAACATAAAAGTTGGTACCTAAACATACCTGTATACAATCAACAAACATGTCTTGCACATTTGTATTATTTTCCTCGGCATCATCTTTATCTTCGTCCTTTAAATTTGACTCTAACTCGTGGAGATACTCCTCGATATCTTGTTCATACAATTCCCATTGATTAGTAACAGTCCTTGAAAGAGGGGAATCCGAATCCAGACTCGAATACCGTAATGAGGGGTATGTTGGGGAATTCACTTGTCCATGGGATAACATTTTTCCTAACCAACCTTTAAAATTAGTTTTTTGCTTATATTTTGCCACAATTACCCCTTCCTCATCTTCCATGTACCCTTCATCATTTTCTTCCTTAAGCATTACCAATTTTCCTCTGCTTAGTATGAATAATTCACAGAAATCCGGCTTCGATCGATGAACGTAAAACGACCCACTAATCGCGTTCTTTGATCTCCTGTATAGTTTGATTAAGCCATTGAAAACAAAACCCACAAATTTAATCAATATATACTTACAAAATTGTTAAACTTTATAAAATAAACAAAGAATTAGTATAAGATTAGAATTAAACATACCCTGATGATGATCTCATAAATGTCATTCCCATAACAAGCTTAGTAATTTTCTTCTCTATGATTAAGTCAACCACCGTCTTTTGAATTGGTTCATCATGGTTATTAATTTTATGAACCTCTGCTTTTACCTGTTAAAATTCATAAAATTTCAGCTTTGACTAGTATACTAATTTCGCAAGTTATAAAAATGTTGCAATTAATTTGAAACGGGGCGAGTATAAAATCGAAATAAATAATAAAGGAGCTTACTTTTCCACAATAGGCAATGTATCTGGATAGGAGTTTGTCAGTTTTCTCTTGTTCACAATTCCTGAGCATCTGAATTTTATCATCACTTACAGAACTTGCAGGAAGCTTTCCAACTATAGAATTAAAAAAATATACCATCATAATTCATTAATATATTATCGTATAGTATAATTAAACAAACTAAAAATTAATAAGTCCAAAAAATGACAAAAATGGAGGAATTTGCTTACATGGGGTATCAACAAATTCAAAGGAAGAAGAATTATTGATGAAGAGAATAATAATGGAGATAGGATGATGAGAACCCCATTTTTTAATGACCCAATTTAAAGTCAAACAACCTTCTTCTTCTTGCATTTCATTACTCAAAGCCACATATATTTTCTCATGAAGCTGCATCATGTTCGCGTTCGTGTTTGTTCTCGTGTTTTGTTAATCGATCATAAACAAGAAATTTGATGAGAAGGGAGTGTGTTTTTTATTAATAACTTAAAGCCCATTTTTTGAAATGGTAGTGTGAATGCTTCGTGTTCGTACGTGAAGGTGATGGAAGAGGAAAGAGAAAGAGAGAGGATTTGGATTGGGAGGTTTTGATTTTGAGGATCGAAATTTCTAAGGAAAGTGTTCTTTTATTAGGGTGGCTGACTTGTCTTCTTAAAGGGAAAGGTTTTTTTTAAAAGGTTTAAGACTTTTAAGTCGTTTGATTCACCAATTTGGATGATTGGATCCTTAGTTTTTGTCAATTTTTGGGTTTTGTAATTAAGTTATGGATGGATGTGGCCGTTTTGTTGATTTGGCTATTTCTATACATATAAGCGTACGTATAGTTGTTGATGGTAATCGACGTGTTATGATTCAAAATTCACAATTTAAGTTCAAAAAACAGTAGTAACGAAAGATTTTTGAACATAAAATAAGTCTCGTTGATTCAAAACATTTTAAATCAACGCAGTAAATAATACGTATTTTTAATTAGCTCGCGTTTTGACGGGAACAAACCAATGCCAAATTGCCAACATTTAATTAATACACGAATGTGACATTATTTAGGATTTTAAATTGAGTTATATGTTGTCATTATTAGTTGAAGAATATAAAAGAATATCCATGGATTCCATGGATAGAACTGCATTTTAGAAATCATGAGGAATTTGCTTGTGACTTATAAAACACCTCCCAAAGGACCCCAAGGGTTCGATAGTGACCTTTATCATAAGACAGCAAGCAAGAATAGTTAGCACTTATATTGCCGTGGAAATTAGATTTACATTAGTATTATCTTTCCAAATTATTATAGTCACATTATATAGTCACAAAGGTGGCAGTGGTTGGGCCAAATCTACATGTTTTCCCCATTTGGAGAAAAAAAAAAATACTCCGAATTGGATAATTTATCTGAGTATCAGTTAGCCATAGAAATGAAGAGATTTTTTTTTAATTTGGAGTTTTTATAAAGAGTAGTTTTTACAACCTTTTACAAAAATTTAATACTACCTCCGTTAATTATTATGTGCAACTTTAAAAACTTTTATATTTCACAAATAATACCCAAAGTTGCACATAATAATTAACGGAGTTAATAAATAAATAAAAAGCTATGTAGAAAATATATAATGAGACAAATCTAACAAGACCCAATTACAATTCTCCTAACATATAATAATATAAATCACACACACACACAAAAAAAAAAAAAAAAAAAAAAAAGGTTAATGTTATGAAATTAAAGAGAAAGAGAAAGTAGAGGAGAGAATAGATCTATATATTTATTACTCAATGATGTAGGAGTATATATATACAATTAGGGTTATCTTGTAAAATAATAAACATAGTATATCTAGAATATCCTAGAATTGTCATAAGGGTATAATGGGCATCCACTAAATACATATATTATATAACACTCCCCCTTGGATGACCATTTTCAAATAGTGTGCCTCGTTAAAACCTTTCTAGGAAAAACTCGATGGGATAAAAACTTAGTGAAGGAAAAAGAGTACAACACTTTCATAATACGCCTTGACATGCTGCCTCGTTAAAACCCTTACCAGGAAAACCCAATGTGGGACAAAACCATGGTTAAGGGAAAAAGAGAGCAGCGTGTATTTTCTCCCCCTGATGAATGCATAACTTGAGATCTTCCAATGTAATGATCCAATGCCTTAGTAAATTCACACTTGTAGGTGAATAACATTCCTTGACAGTTGATCCTCCCTGATCAAACTTGAATCTTCACTGTAAAGCATCTTCATTCATCCATATTTGTGAGAACAATACCTATGTTGCGTTTACCACTATCTTATATGACATTTTTGTTTCAAGTTGCCTTACCATCAAAATTATGCCTACTTCTGGAGGTCGTAGAAGTAGCTATTGATAATCAAATATTGATAATAATTTATGGCACCCCGTGAGATATCTTGATATCATTATCTAAGCTTGTATGAATTAGTAATAATATAACATAAGTATTATTATATACTTTACTCATGGTTCTTTTGGACCATAAGAAGATGATTCTTACTATAATATATCTCATTTCTATTTTTCTTTAGACATTTTGCATTTTATACGAGAGTTCTCCAATGTGTACAAAATCGATTAACTCTCACTTGGTTAAACTTCAGGTTGATATCTCAATAAGTTAGTCACTAATACTCTCCATGAGTTTGATAACAATATCAACATTGTCATTTTTTCAGAATATAGAATTTGAAGGGCTAGATATTTGAATACGTTGTATATAAGTTCTGCGGGAACTTTTCATGCATGATTCATAACATGCTATTGGATCGTCATCATATAAACTTTCTTCACAATTATAAGCCCATCGGAGTATAAATTTCTTCTTGTAAGCCTTCATCATAATTATAAACTCATCAGACCATAAACATTCACATATAACACAAATGATGTATAGAACTAATAATGCATGCAATATGAGATGTAGAATTCATGGTAAAACATTAAACAAAATATATATATATGTAATGAGTAATGCATCAAACTATATCCTATACATACAACGAGTAATTCATAAATTTAAAACTCAAACATGCACATAAATAAAAGGCTCAAAAAATGCAAACACTTTACAGTGTGGATTTCAGAAATCCATTTTCTAATTGGACTACTAGTCCATGATAATTTTTTTTATCATTAGCATTCATATTTCATTGGACTTCTTGTCCATGATAAGATTTTGATTTATTATCTTAGTTTCAGGTCGACATCCAAATGGACATATATTTCTGATCCCTTATGCACAAGTCCATTCCTTCTGCATATGCATATTATATATCGGTTTCATCATATACCGGCATCATATAATTCCTTAAGATACAATTTTTAATTTTCATGCTATTTTGACAATGATATCTGAATACGTTTCTCATTGGTACCATCATAACTTTTCTTACATCATAGGCCATCTATTGTAATAATTCAGATATCTGTACCACTTTTGGGGTATTTCATACACTATGGTATTTATATACTATCACAATATTAAAAGTGTTAATTGCACCATCTTACCACATATCATATTTTTATTTTGGAACCGATCATACAACCCACACTTCAGGTGTAGTGATTCAAGTATAATTGACAAGATTTTATCTCAATGTATACACATAATATGTGCAAAATGTATCTTCAACGCTATGCAACATGAGTCATAACTGAATACAAATCAAATCATAAATGTGCAACATATGTTGATAATATATAGACAAAAGTTGGCATATAAATTTTCAAACTACCATTATAGGGATCATCAAATTCTTTTCGATTTTCCAACTTTTAATTTGTTGATTCTTCTCCTCCTAAGTTGGTAAAATATCTCATTTATAGGGGCGTCTAATTCTATACCAACTTAATATTGCATTAAAATTCATTTCATGCGAGAATCACAATCAAAATTTATCTCTCAGAAGATTTGTATTAAACAACATTTATCTCTTCTGGAGAAGAATTTCAATGAAGAATCATTTCTTCATTAACTTTACATTGTATGTGTATTTATTATTACAATTTTCATAATATGTTCTCTTCTGGAGATTAATGTCAATGAGGAGACATGTGTTGTGCAGTTGTATGTTTTTCCTTCTTCTCTTCTTTCTGATGTACTGACATATAATAGCCCCAATCAAAAGAATTGGTATACAAGCGTAAATCACTTGCTTGTAATTCTACTAGGTGGTGATCTTATGGATCTTTGAAGACTTAAATAGTGTATTTGGTGAGCTTCTAGTCACCTAATACTTGACAATAATATATAAGTTATTTTGGTGAACTTCTGGTCACCTATTACTCTTTCGTATATATAAAAATCAAAACCTATTAACTCTTGAAATTTTCATCAACACAAATTATTATAGCTCAATCTCAATGTTATGTCTTGCCATTTAATTCATTTCATATATCTAATATTGAGAGAGTGTCAGCACATTATCATATGAAACTTTAGGTTTCCATAACGGGTATTTATTAAATCCCGGATGGCCTAATTTTTTAATTATCACATCCAATCACTTTTTCCTTTAGTATTTAATTGTGGTCAGTTTTATAATAATGGTGATCACCTTATTAGAGATACTTTATGCATGGCCATGAGTATGATGTGATATAAGTACATTAATGTGTATATTTCTACAATTGGCAAGACAATTAACTAATACCCATACTCCACTGGAGGATTGATTGTAATATTGATACATGCTAATCTTGTTGGACAACATTTTATACTCTTCTGGAGTACTTTATATAGTTATAACACATTTTAATGTACTAGAAATGATCTCTTCAGGAGATCTAGCAAAATGTGTCATTTTCTCAAATTTGTCATTGTCAATTATTGTTCATTTCCTCTTCCAAGGATTCTTACCGTTGTTACCCTTTGGATTACCACACTTCAAGTGTGCTAGTTTCAATAGCAACTGATCTTGTCCTTCTAGGACATCAACTTAATATGTACATTTATAGCTAGTGTATAGGTATGACATTTATTCATATCCATTTTCAGGATGGTATCATTCTAAATATTTGATTATCATGTGGCCACCTCTATTAAATAAATCATTGATATTTAGGCTAGTGTATCTACCAAATTGACCATCAACATATTTAATTATTCATGTGCAAGGTTTACATAAAAACCGTGGAATAAACACTATCTCCCCCTAATCCTTGCATATGGGGGTATAAAAATAGTCCAACAATCTTTAAATCCCTTGCTCCTTTTTAAGCCATAAATTCTTGTAGCAATGCATGTATCAAACAAAGTAAAGTTGTTCTTTTCCTCTTGCCTAATTACATGAATCTTTATATTCAAAATTCTCAAAAAATATGGGCATAGTGAATACATTATTCAACTAATTAATTAATCTTTTCACATTGTCATGCTTAGATTAATTTTATTTCAAATGAATATTATGTACTCATGTTTGTAATTATTATGAACTTTACATGAATGATAATCATCATGCAACACATGTACCTTTTAATCATAAGGCTCATTCAATTATTGTTCATGAACTTCTCTGGGAATGAGTAAATTATTTATCAACATTCATATATATGTATAGACAAAGTTCAATATCTTAAATGTGCACCCAAAAGACAATATTAGAACTGATCAAAAATATTTTGTACGTTT